TCTTGAACAGTTAGATGTAAATATCACTTTTTTTCATGGAGAACTTGAAGAAGAAATACATATGCTCCAATTAGAAGGATTTGCAAAAAAAGGAAAAGAAAAATTGGTTTGTAAGTTGACCAAATCTCTGTACAGCTTGAAGCAGGCCCTAAGATATTGGTACAAGAGATTTGATTCCTTCATTATTTGTCTCAAATACAATAGATTGAGTTTAGACCATTGTACGTATTACAAGAGGTTTGGTGATAATGATTTCATCATTTTGTTGTTGTATGTGGATGACATGTTGGTAGTAGGCCCCAACAAAGATCGAGTCCAAGAATTGAAGGCACAATTGGCTAGGGAGTTTGATATGAAGGACTTGGGGACCAATAAACAAGATTTTAGGGATGTAATTCATCGAGACACGAAAGATAAGAAGATTTGGCTTTCTTAAAAGAATTATCTATAGAAAGTATTGCGACGCTTTAACATACATGACTGTAAGCCAATATCTACCCCACTTCCTATCAATTATAAATTATCTTCAAGTATGTGTCCTAGCGATGAAGTGGAGAGAATGAAAATGTCTTGAATACCGTATGCATCAGCAGTGGGAAGCCTTATACAATAATTTGTACTAGACCAGATATTGCACAAGCAGTTGAGAACGTTAGTTGTTTTATGGAAAATCCTGACAGGAGCATTGGAATGTTGTTAAAAGGATCTTGAGATACATTAAAGGAACCTTGGGTGTTGTGTTATGTTTTGGAGGATCAGAGTTTATTGTTAGAGGATATGTTAATTCAGACTTTGAAGGTCATCTTGATAAAAGAAAGTCTACTACAGGCTATGTGTTCATACTTGCATAAGGAGCAGTAAGTTAGTTATTAAAGTTACAAAATGTTGTAGCTCTGTCTACTACATAAGCTGAATACATGGCAGCTACACAAGCATGCAAGGAAGCAATTTAGATTTAAAGGTTAATGGAAGAACTTGGGTACAAGCAACAGAAGATTCCTGTTTATTGTGATAGTCAGAGTGCCTTGCATATTGCAAGGAATCCAACCTTTCATTATAAGACGAAACACATAGGTGTTCAATATCATTTTGTTTGAGAAGTAGTAAAAGAAGGAAACGTGAATATGCAGAAGATCCATACTAAAGAGAACCTAACAGATGTCATGACGAAGCCTATCAACACTGACAAGTTTACTTGGTATCGATCCTTGTATGGCCTATTAAAGTTATAAGCAACATGCAACTGTCAAGAAAAGGAAGATTTGTAATCTTGCCAAAAGTGATTTTAAGTGGAAGATTGTTAGAATCATAAAGTCACTCTGTGGCATAGGAAAAAGTCAAAGAAAAAAAAAAGAAAAATAAAATAAAATAAAAGAATGTTTCCTATTTAATAGGAGAAGAAATCTCCAAAGTTATGGAACATCACAAACTAAAGTTTAGGTGATGCATATAAATACATGCCTACGTCTAGAACTCATATCATCTCATTTTGATAACGTATTCGTATTTTCTAGAGAGAAAAATACAAAGAGATAATAATAATAATAATAATAAGATTTCTCCTGTGAAGTTCTTCTAGTGTTATTTTCTTTTATTATTAAGAGAGAGTGTTATTGGTCTCTCTTTGTACACAATTTGTATTCCTAAAAACCAACTTACATATTTACTAACCAAAAAATTGGATTGTGCTTTTTTTCAATTTATTATTAGAAAGTTGTGAGTAGATGATATCTACTCACCGACTTGAGAAGAAGTATTGCAATATTTATAGATTAACCTGAATAGAATATTTTTAATATGTAATTAAATATTATAATTAAAAGTAATATTATCCATCTAATTTTATATTTATTATATAATTGTACAATAATCTTTTAATTTTTGAAATTATATATATATATATATATATATATATATATATATGAATAAGATCTTGTTATATCGGTGTAAGTTTAAAAATTTTTACACTCAATTTGAGTGTTTTATTTAACTTAAATATAACATGTTATACTTTATTATTTTATTGGCCGTTAGATTTAAATTAAATGAAAGGCTCAGATTGAATATAAGAATATTTATACTTAAATTAGTGTAAGAAAATCCTTCTCTCTCTCTATATATATATAAACAAGATCTTCTTACACTAGTATAAGTTTTAAAAAAATTTATACTTAATTTAAGTTTTTTTTTTAACTTACATATAACATATTATAATTTATTATTTCACTTTCTGTTAAATATAAATTAAATAAAAAAATTAGATTGAGTATAAAAAAATTTTAATTTATATTAATATGAAAAGATTATATATATATATATATATATATATATATATATATATATATATATATATATATATATAGTCACTTCCTTTGATATTTATAATCAACCGGTCAACAATGGAAATAACTATGGAATATTTACACTGGACTTGAATTTTCGCAATTGAAAATGATGATAAACGACAAGCACGTCAATCCTTTCATAGTGCTTTGGGGAGACTGTAAACATATTCCTTGGAAAATACTCGTAGGTGGGTCAGCTTTCAAAAGATGATAGGTTTTGGAAGACTTTCATTGATCAAAAGTCAATAATAAAAGACAAGTATTTAACTATAATTATCCACTAGCTAGCACAGTTTTTACCATTGACTTGACTTTTCCACTTAACAGTTGAACCATATGAATGACCATTATATCATATTATTTTTGTTTTTTTTATTTTTCACGAGGAAGATAATATATAAATTTAAAAAATATAATTGTAATCTTATTCACAATAAATTATTTTAAATTTTTGCTTATTTTTTTAATTTTTTTCTCTCATGTATAATAAAATGCAAAATATTTAAAAATCAATTATTATATTTTTTAATTAAGGATCGTAGATTAACATTCTTTATTTATTAATTTAATCTTTATACAAATTGTATTTTTATTCCTTAAATAAAAATATATTTTAAAATAGTTTTCTAACGTTAACTTTCATGTAATGTTCATTATCTTTTATCTATATATTCATGCACATAATAGTCTTTTTGTTATAGTCCTCCATATAACATAATTTTCTATGCAATATTGTTTGGATAAGAAGTTATATATGATAAATTTTATAAAAAATTTAAAATTATAATGATCAAAATAAAGGTATATGTTACATAAAGAGATATCAGTTAAAAAACTTATGTATAGAAGTTAAATTAAAATTCAACTTTGAAAAATGTTTAAAAATATTATGATAATTTGAAATAGATTATAAAGGGTGATTTACTAATTTAAATAGCGTAATTCAACATTAATATTATTATAACAATTCTGTATGAAAAGATGATATTTAAGAGTTAGGTAAAAATTATTTTAGTATTACATATTTTTTATTTTTAAAAATCATTTAAAAATTTGTTTAATGATAAATCTTATACTCTGTACCATAGATACTTTTAATGTTTTTCCTAATTAAAATTAAAACCTTATCTTAAAATTAGTACCCATCTTTAATATCAAAACTTTATTACATTAGTTGTTCAGATAACATTTGGGGCTTATTTGATTTCTGAAAAGTTTTCGTTTTTATTTTATATTTTTACTTTTAATTAAAAAATTGTCAACTTATTTTTATTCTATTTTTTTTAAGATATATACATTAACAATAAAAACATAAAAAAATATTTTTAATATTTTTTGCAAAATTTTGGAATAAAATAATAAAATAAAAACGATTTCTGAAATCAAATAATTTTTTTAATTTTAACAAGAAAACGACACAAAAAAATATCTGAATTTTTTTTTTACATACATAATTAATTTCAATTAATTTAGTTAAGTGAATAAATTATATTTTAAGTAAAAGTCTATTTTGATATTACAAGTCACCTCATTAATCATCCATGACAAAAGACATTAAGATATAATATTTTAAGAAAAATATTATTAAAAAAATTGTGTTTTAGAAAGCATTTTTATAATGTGTTTACTTAAAAAAATTAAAAGATATGCAATATATATATATATATATATAATTTAAATATATGTTAATATGTTATTTAAATTTTAATATATATTTATATTTTTAAAAATATTTTTATTGAAATAAAATAATATAATAATATAGTTATTAATTTTATTTTTATATAAATTTAATATATTTGTTTAGAACTTTAAATTATTAATCTCACCTTCTCTATAAAATTAATTGATATAAACAGAAATTTGATATCGATGACTCTTGTGTGTATATATATATATATATATATATATATATATATATATAGCGCGAATGTTGAAAGTAAGGTCTGGATCCACTGCAACAATAGTCCTACCATGTGGCTCACCATGACTTTTTCCGATTAATTTTTAAGAAAATGTGTCAAATAATTATGGAAGCGTTTATATTTGTAAAAAAATTAAATAATAGATATGGTAGGTTTTATTATATAAAAAAATAAAAAATACTAAAATAGGGTATCTTAAAAAAAAATTCAAAAATTATCACCGGTTATTAAAATGTTTTATTATTTTTTTAAAAATATTATCATTAAATTTGATAACTTTTTGTTGATTTATCGGTACGTACTAGTGAAAATTTCTGAATTTATATATTTATAATTTTTAAAAAATATTCTTAATATATATTTTTTAAATTCACATATAAAAAATTTTAATAGGATATGACAGGTAATATAATATAATAATAAAGAAAAAAATATATAGACGATGTTAAATAAATGTTGATACTACTTGAATATTTATGAATCATAATTGTTATTAATGAATGCTAATGAAAAGTGTCTAACTTAAAGTTATTTAATGTATATGATTAAATGCTTTTATTATTGAAAATATATATTACTTTTTTTGTTTTACTTTTATCCAAAATAACTTATTTTTTATTTAAAAGCTGTTACTTATATTTAGTTAACCAATTCTTTAAAAATATTAGATTCAAGGTATCAAGAGCAATCCACTTATAAATAAGAGGGATTCAACTATACAATGAAAGACAATCAGAAATGGAATCATATTGGGTTTGGACGAGTGTTGCTACTTTGCTTACGTGCTATATTTTTGTAAACATTTTTCTAAGGAGGTTGAATGGGTGGTACTATGATCTGAAACTAAGAAAGAAACAACACCCATTACCTCTTGGTGATATGGGATGGCCTATAATTGGCAATTTATTGTCTTTCATCAAAGATTTCTCATCCGGTCACCCTGATTTATTTATCAAAAACCTTGTTACCAAGTTAGTTTTATTTTCCATATCCCATGCTTTATTTTTCCATTATTTCATGATCATGTATAAAATATAGTTGTTAATTAGTCTCACCATGTATATTTATGTTTCAGATATGGACGAACTGGTATCTATAAGACTCATTTACTTGGGATGCCAACAATCATTGTGTGTGTACCTGATTTGTGCAAGCGCGTATTGACAGATGACATGAACTTTAAGTTTGGTTATCCAAAAGCAACCTTAAAATTGGCACCATCTAAAACCTTATATGATGTCTCTACAGCAGAACACAGGCGTTTAAGACGCTTAGTTACTGCTCCTATTGTGGGTCAAAACTCGTTAACGATGTACATAGAACGTATTGAGGAGATTGTGATTGATTCGTTAGAAGAAATGTCTAGCATGAAACACCCAGTTGAGATCTTGAAAGAAACGGAGAATGTTTCTCTTAAAGTCATCCTTCACATTTTCATGGGTTCTAAGAATGATTACTTGGTTAGCAGAATTGGAGATTTGTTCAGTGATATGCATAATGCCATATTCTCCCTCTTTCCCATCAATCTTCCTGGTTTTGCTTTCCACAAAGCACTCAAGGTCTTCTTCTCCAAGTCCTCATCTTTCTTCTCATTCCCTCAATTATTTTTATTATTCAAGATTAAATTTAAGTATTTAAAAATAATAATATTTGAGTGGTGATTTCACATTTACATGGCTTTACCATGGCATACTAGGCACGCAAGAAGTTGATGAAGATACTTGAGTCTATTGTGGAAGAACGGAGGTCAACGATGAAAAAGGATCAAAAGGGAGACAAAGAAGATCTCATTGATATTCTTTTACAAATCGATGGCGAGAATGGTGAGAAATTGGGGGATGAGGATATTATTGACTTATTGATAGGGTTATTATTTGGTGGTCGTCAAAGTACAGCATTTGGAATGATGTGGACATTGAAATATCTTGCACAGCATCCTCACCTCTTTCAAAAAGCCAAGGTAAGTGAAGCTCGCATCAAGCACAAGTACAATCAATTACTCATAAATTTATGGAAAGCATTCAACAATTTTGATGCGTATTTATTAGTGTAATTTTATTATTTATTATTAAAATTGTATACATATTTATTCTAAAATAAAATATGAGTGTATTGCTTGGCTACTTAAACTAGTATTGCGTAATTTATTTTACAATATATTTATCTTAGTTACAAACAATGTCTTTGGCAACATTATATTATATTCTAACGTTAATAAACACTTAAACAAATCTTTACACTTTTTTTTGGCATAATATATAGTTTTTAAACCTTGAAATTTTGAAAATTGTAGAATTGAAGTTTAAAACCCTGAAGAATAAAAATTATAGTAATCAATGGTTAATGTTTTTTTGTTTCGTGCTTGGAAAGAATGAAATAAAGACTCTAGTTCCATTAATATTTTTTGGTGTCGTCTTTTTCTCAGTAAAATTAATATATTATTTTTTAAAAAAATCTATTCTATTTTGAAATATCCTTAATATAAAATAAAATAAATATATTATAGAAAATAAAATTTTAACGTCAGTTTGATAACATACTTTAATTTGAACTGTTGAAATACAGTAAAAAGAAACAATGCTCCCTGTTTTGAAAATGATTTTTCACATAAATAGAGTGTACGTACTCACGTTAGACTAGAGCCATGTGTTTTACTACCAAATTATGGTTTTAAACGCTTTTAGTATTTTATGCAAAATATATAGAATGTCATATTAATGGAGATCTAAGTTGATATATTTCTTAATGCATTGTAGGATGAGCAGGAAGAAATCATGAAGACAAGACAACCATCGCAAAAGCATCTAAGTTTTAAGGAAATTAAGCAAATGAACTATACATCTCAGGTAAGCATAGCAGAAAATGACATATACTTCATTTGCAAGATATTGTTTGAGATGAGTTTTCAAGAGAAAGAAAGTGATGAAATATTTTTTTTATTTTTAATTAAAAAAATTATATATATTTATAACGATGAATGTATAATTAATTAATACTTTAAATTTATGCTAATATATTATTTTATATCTTTTATTTTAAAAAATATCAATTTAAAATATATTTTCCTAAACAATTCCTAAAAGATAGTATCAACAAGGTGAAAAACTATTTTTTTTTATATTTAACTGGGATTTTGAATGTCTTTTTAATTTTAAAAATATTTTCAAAATTTATATATATGAATGAGATTAAAGGTAAATGGAAATAAAAAAAATGTTATATTGTTTTGCATATTTTTTAATGATAGTTCTATTATGTTATAATGTAATTAATATTAAATATAAGATTGCTAATATTTATTATTTAAAAATTAAGAAAATTATAGGTATGAAAAAATTTTAAAAAATAAAAATTATTTTGAAAAAAAATGCATAATATTACCTATGATATTAATATTTTAATTTTCAAATAACAAACGCATAAAAAAGCCTTGGATCTTGTTATGATATGCAGGTAATCGATGAAATGTTACGCCATGCCAACCTTGCCTTTACAAGTTTTCGAGAGGCAACTGCTGATGTGAACATCAATGGTTGTTTATATTCGTCACAAAATTATAAATTCTTTATTTCTAGTTATCTTCAATTATTAAAGGAGAATAAAAGAATATATATGTCATGTAGCTATTCAAATATTTTAGGTTATATTGTACCAAAAGGATGGAGAGTGCTGGCTTGGGTAAGCGCTATTCATATGGATCCAGAATATTATTCAAATCCAGAAGAATTTAATCCATCTAGATGGGATGTAAGTTTAATTAATATAACCTATTCTTGGAAAATTTTAATTTTGGACCAACCATAAAGAACTTTTTGTCCCATTGATTAATTATTAATTATATGCACAGGATTACAATGCCAAAGCAGGAACATTTCTTCCTTTTGGAGCAGGAAGCAGAATTTGTCCAGGAAGTGATCTAGCCAAACTTGAAATTTCAATAATGTTACATTATTTTCTCCTTAATTACAAGTTAGCACTGTTTCTTTGTCACTTTCATTTTATCATTCTTTCATTACTTCTATGTACCTTAGAATATAGTCATTTGAGGAGATAGCTTTTATTATATATAGATATGAGACTATTCTTATTGCATATTTATTTTGAGGAATGATTTGTAATCGTTCTTTATTATATGTTTTATTACTAATTATTTTGTTTATTTTATAGGTTGGAGCTAGTAAATCCACACTGTCCTCTTGCTTGCTTGCCAACAATTAAGCCCGCAGACAATTGTTTGGCTAAGGTGACAAAGATCTCAAGTCCTTAGCTAGAAAAGCAAATTTAAGTTTTAAGCTACATGGCTTGCAAATTATAGCTAGCCTTGACTTCTTATGTCATTATAAGAGTTATAATTTCCTACTTTGCTATTTTTGTTGGCTTTTTGTGACTGTAAAAAATTTAGAAGAATTGCACCTAAGGATAAATTTATCCAATGAAGATAAGAGTGTTAATCATAGCTGTCATCATTAGCATATAGTCTAGATGCTCAAAATTCAAATTATTTCAATGTATATATGCTAAGCACATATATACATTTAGTATGTAACTTCAAATTAAGCACATGTATAGTTTTTACTTTTTTAAGGTAAGCAAAAAAACATTAAATGTGTTTTCTTATTTTGGCATTAAGTTTCATTTTGTAACATCTCTCCCGTGTATACAGTTTGATTCTTTATTCTCTGTTATTATATATTGGAATATGATTTATAATCCATTACCGTTTAGTTTCAACATTTCTTTCTATTAATCACGATCAAAATTGAAACTGACAAGCAACAAAATATGTAAAAATTTAAAGAGTCGTTATCAATTTTATTTATATAGAAAAATTTTAAAATCTGAAAAAAAAATACTAAGTAGAATAAAATTAAGAGTTCAATTTTGTATAAAATAAAAGAGTTCAATTTGTAACATCTCCAATTTCACAACTTTCAATTAAAATATTTTGTGAAATTTTTCTATGTATATGTATTGTGTTTAAGAATATTCCTTAATTTAGTTGTTAAATAAAGATTAAGAAAAGGGGTACAATTGATTCTAATATAAATTCTAGAAAGATTAAAGAAAAAAAAATTAAGAATTCCTCAGATGGAACCTTATGCAAAAAATTCATATTAAAATCATCAAAAATGCTCATGGGCAATACAATTGAATCAAAATCCAGTTGATCCAACCGAGTAATTATCTTTTCTCTCAAATTATTAAAAAAATGCCTTTTTTTGTGGGGTCAAACTTAATAAATAAATAAATTATTGTGTTTGATTGTGTTGTTTTGTTTTGCTTGTTCTAGCCAAATCATCAGCCCCATCCCCAGCACCAGCAGCAGCCATCACCATGCGAAACCAAAGGGTACACGTTCCCCTTTTTTCTAAGTTTAATTGGTTTTTGTGCTTTAATAAAACAACAAAATCAAGAAAAGAAGAGTGTGCTGAGATCTAAGGGAATGGAATTGGCCCTCTTTTCTCTGCAGAGTTTAAATCGGGCCAGTAATATATAATGCACGTTTGAGACTTTGTTTGTTGCTTTTCTAAAGATTTGTTTGAAAGTTTGGAGTAAGAGGAAAGGAAATAGTTGGAAGGGAGAATAAGAGAAAGGGAAGAGAGGGGGATGAAAGTTAAATCTCTCATTTGGACTTTAATATTAAAAAAAGGAGGATAATAGAAGATTTAATTATATAAATGATATTATTATATTTTACATTTTTGTTTTTAATTTTTATAAAAATAAAAAATAAAAAAATTTCTCTAAAAATTAATAATTTTAAAATTAATATTTTTATTTTTTATAAATTTTTTAAAAAAATTCTCACTCAAAAAATTGATATTTAAAAAAAATTAGAGTCCTAATAAAAAAGAGTATTCCTTCAGAAAATTCCTATAAAATTCTTTTTTTTCTAATTAATTAAATCTCAAATTAAAGATAATCTTTTTAACTCTTTCTTTTCTCTCCTAAACATAACTCTCTAACATTGCCTAAGCAAATAATTAAAAAAAAAAATTGATTGAAAATCAGAAACGTTTCTTTAGAAAAACAGTAGGTATTTTTATCTAAAATTTGATCAAGCATGGAAGATGCATCTACAATTTTACGGATCTTCTATAAATAATTTATGTCACAACTAAATAAATAAAAATATGAATGCGAAATGTAAATAAAAGTTATAGTGTTCTTTTGTGTCCTTTTATTTTATTTATCTTTCTTTTATTTTGATACAAATATCCGTTAGCTAGAAATGTTGATTTATTTTTCTTTAATTTCTATTTAAATTTTCTTTCAGAAATTATAAAAGAATTATTGATTTCAAAATTCTTGCAGCAATTCACAAACGTTAATTGTAAGATTATTCATTCTCAAGTGTTATGTATATCATAAGGACCTAGGTATATTTATGCTATTTTAGATCTTGTGAAATATGAGTTGGTCTTAAAAATAAAAATAAAAATATTTTTTTAAAATTATAAACATCCTCCATAACAGACAATCGTGTAATTTTATTCTAATCAAGAATATTTACAATATGGTGTGCTTAGTTCTTGTGAAGATTAATTTTATTTTACTGAAATTAGTTTTCTTTTTAACTTTTTAATAAATTTATCCTTAAAATAAAAGTAAAATTACAGCTTAATTCCATGTAGTCTCATACCTTTTAAATTTACTCTTTGTTTTTTTTTTTTTTCTATCAATAAACTCCCTCGTTTGAAGTAAAGTGATAAAAAAAAAAAAAAAAAAAATACTCCAAGGAGTTAAGTTACATGAAGCAAAATGTATATACAAGTTTAGTGACATTAAAAAAAGCACAGGAAGCACGTTGAAAAAGTATAAAATTACAAATATTTTCTTTATTCATTATTTAAGGTTTAAAGTTGTGAATGTTTTATATTTAGTTTTTTAATTTTTCATCTTTATAATTCTATATAATTAAACATTCTTTGTAATGAAGTTAAGATGGATTCTTATGATATAATACTTTTGAATCTTAGTTTAATTTTATGTAATTGATGATATTTGTGAATTAAATGTGTCTCTTTAGTTATTGTTGATACTATTGAATTCATACTTCAATGGTTAATTTTAGTTAATTAATTAGGAGACGATCAAACATTTAATAGATTAATGAATTTAAGAAGTAATTTGAGTTTAAAAATTATAAAGATCAATTTATTTTCTAACTTTTTAATTAGTTAATTGAAATAGTTGATTAAATTTAATAAGTATAATGTTTGGTATTATTTTTATTTATTTATTATTTTTTATAATCATTAAAATAATAAATAAATAAGAAATTTATCATTATCATATAATCATTAGGTAGAAATAATATTAAATTAAATAATTAATAATTATTATAATATCCTTAGATATAATTGAATTTTGAGATTTTTAAGTAATCGAAAAAACTTTCATTCATATTAAATCAATTTCTAAAAACAAAATTGTGTTGCACCAAAAAGAAGTGCAACATAAACATTTCTTTCTTTATATTCATTTCCTCTATTGCAAAAAAATTAAGCGAAGCACTTTTTGAATAATAGAGAACACCTATAAACGTTTTTCATAGGTTTGTTTTCAGTAGCTTTAAACTCCTTGATCGTAGTTCTTTTAAGGAAGAGAACCATGTAATGCTATAAAGGTAAAAAATTAGACGGTACCCAAACTAAAGCTAGAGTATTAATGGGTCTGCAATACATGTTGTAGGTACTCTCCCAACGCCCATATGGGGAATATGTTTCTGTACGTAGCAAATGTGACTGTACAATTCTTGTTGAAGATTCCCATTATTTCCTGAAGTGAAAGAACAAGAATAAGAGGATTTAAATGGCTTTTGGCATTTAGATTATTTAAATGATTTTAACACTTCAAAATGTTGATATTGATAATAAATAAGTAAAGTGGGAATACAAAGTAAATTATATGGTTAATGGTCTTCAATACCTGTTGTGGAAAGTCGCCATTCTCCATTTGAGAGTTTATCAAGTACATAGCTGCTCGGTGTAGTGGTTTCGGATCTCTCTTAGCCTGTTTTATATATTCCAATGAAAGAACATAACAGAGTTATCACTGGATAAGCAAAATGTGTAGACAAAGAATTCAATTACTTAGGAAAATGTGAAACATCCAATCATAGGACTAGAATGAAACACAATATGAAGTGACAATTGGCAAAGCAATAGTCATAATATAGGATGACAAATTTGGCAGAAAATTAGAACCCTTAGTTATTATAAAAACAGTAATATGTGATTAAAAATATGCAAGATTTACAAAAATAACAGCGATATATTAGTAAAATTAGATAATTATATCATAATATTAAGTTATTTAACCATGGACATAGTTATCTGTAAGAGATTTAACTAAAATCAGAATAGTCCTTTCTATAATGAAAATGATCACAATGATTAACTATCACACAGTAAATGGAAAATGGGTCTGGTTCAATAATAAACTGATAATGACAATATTACAAAATTAACTAAATCTACTACCTGTCCAGCACTAATGAGAGCTAACATAGCCCACCCAGTGTTTACGATATGAGACCTATTATTTTCCAGATTTGTATACACCTGAACAAAGAAAGATTGCCAGAAAGATTACTTGAGCAATTTTAGCATTTAGACTGTCAAATATAATCTAGTATTTTCAAATTTAATTGAAAAATATATGATGCGAAATTACGTTACCTAGAACTATCTTTACGATATATTTTTATCTAGAATTATGCTTTCACTTGATATTATTTTTAAAATTCTCTAACATATATGATTCCGTATCCCTTAGGTAAACATATATGAAGTTTGTGTCTTCTCCCTTAGTTTGTGAAGCAATTTGTGAAACTTCGAATGCTGTAATGCTATTATTTCTCAGTATGGTTGAATAATCTAGTGTGTTAAAAAATGTTCAACATTAATAAAAAAAAATATGATAAAATATTTATTATAAGATTTGGCTAATTTTTAACTTTTGATCTAGCTTTTGGAGCAAATTAAGTCTTACCTGTCTTTAATATGGTATCAAAGCCCACCTAATCTTAATATTGGCCATTGGTGTCAACTTGTGTGTTAAAATATCTTGAATTGACTATATGATAAAATATTTTAATAAATCTTGAATTATATATTCTTCTCCTTTAAGCTAGCTTTTTGAGAGTGATTTAAGTTTAATTCATTTCTAATATAGCAATAACAACTACATTGGTGTCATGTTGACGCCCTATGGTTTTGGGATTGGGAGCTAAGCTTGGACAACCCTCCTTTCCTGACCAACTTTTAAAATAATTACTTAAGTTTGGTCCGTTTTAATTCAATGATTATTGACAACCAACTACAAACTATACAGGTGTCACATTGGCATCTAATGGGTATAGGAGATAGGAATTAGGTGAAGCTCAATAGAGAATCTCAGCTTTTGTTCACCAATGCGAGATGACTACCTACAAAAGTTATTGTTTAAACCAAGGCAAACTCAACTAATGGAACCTTAAATTAGTATTCATGATATAGTGCATGCATAAATATGTTGGTTTCCTGCAAGTCCATTCTTACTTTTGTACACTCTTTTACTCCACATTGTTATCATGTTTATGCATCTTCGTGAAGTCCAGAAGACATGTATGTTCCAAGGTATAATAAAAAATTAACTAATACTTGCAAATAGTTGACATTTTCATGAGAAACAACAAAATTAATTAACCTTGTTTTGACATGATAGATAACTTTCTCCCCAACCGCCAAAGGGGAGTTGCTTGGAAAGTAGAAATTCACAAGCTTTGCGGATGCTTGAGCAATTGTCAAAACTCTCTCCAGCAGCCATAAGCCCTTTTAAACCAAACCAAGTGCCATAGGTGAAGCAAACTCCCCAAGAACCATACCTGTTTAGCAATTTGAGTGGTTAGAGGTCTACTAAATAAGGAATTAATGTCCCATTCCAAGCATTAATTAATAAAAGAAATAATAAAATGAATAAATTTAAGTATATTTGGGATGAAACATTCTGGCATTATATAGAATAGAAAAACTTGTGGAAGAAGTGATTCAGGAGCAAACCATGAACCATCTGAAGCTTGTGCTTGTTTTATAAAAGCAACAGCTTTTTTTATACAAGATTGTATTTCTTCTCTTCGATGATCAGGATATAACTTTCTAAATGACATCAAACCTTGAATAACTGTTGAAGTGCATTCCAAATAACTATAACGCATACAATAAAAAAAATGTTAAAAGGCATGGCTGTATGGAATTGAAAATCCACACATTAAATGATATTCAACAAACATTTGATAGCTTACGGATAATCAATAACGATGTCACCAAAAGTTTCGGCTGAATTAATTATCTGACAATAGAAAAGAGAATGCATTATTAACACTGTATATCTATATCTGAAATTTATTCCAAAATCAAGTTCTCATTGCTAAAAGCCCCTCTCCTTCAACAATTAATTTTTTTCTTATATTCATCCCCTTCTTGATCCCTTTCTACATTTTGATTTGATTTTAACTTGTTAAATTTAAATAATTAAATCATAAATTTCCAGTAATCATCAATATAGTCTTGTGGACACAATTTTTTATTACTACTTTAATGAAACCATGAGCTTGTGGGGTAGTTGTGGTCCACATCATGCCTTTTCTTTGTACATTTTTCACAATTCTTTGGTGTCATTTTCTTCCTTTTACTATAACTCATGGCTTTCGACCCCTCCAGCAACCTATCCTATGTGGTTTCAAGCTAAACCAACCTTATCTTGTTTGTCGATGTTGCCATTTTCTCCTGATTAGTCTCAGATGTAGTTTGGTGCCAATTACGATGCGACTTAGTCTCGACTTTTAAGTCCTAGATGGGATTCAGCATAAACCGTAGACCCAAAGACAATTTGACCAACACTAATTTTGTCCACAAAACTCTATTATTTTTGTACAAGTGAATGTAATTGGACCTTCTTGTTTTAGTCCTAAATCTAACTTGGTTCTGGCCTTTGCTCCAAATTTTGTATGGTCTTGTTTCTTTTTTACTATATGTTCACTAGGCTCCACTAGTGTTTGTCCTAGGTGCTCTGCCCTTGCCAATCTCCATCCTTCACGCTCTAGCCCTACGAATTTGAGGCCCAAAACCCTAAAAGCTTTTGCCTTGCCATCTTCAGCGAGGTTGAGTTGCCTTTTCAGTCATGTTTTGTGGAATATTAAATCTTTCCTTTTTATATATATGTGATAAGCTTAAAGTTGAGTCAACTTAATTTGAGAAGGACTATTAGAATATATGAAAAATATGCAATAGTGTCAGATCTTCTCATAATATTAATTCTTTATTATCTTGATTTATACATTTCATTATTATCACATGATTTAATTCCTTGTGTAATTAGGGTTATAGTATTGTATTAATATAAACAAAGATCAGTGTTTTATACTATATCAATACATTGTAACATATTTATCAAATAAATCAATACCAAAATATTGTGTTTAATCTTATATATTTTGCTCCGTTTTTGCAAGCTATACATAAACGATAGTATTAACAAATATAATGAAAGATAGATTGTAGTGGAAGTTTATTCGAGGTAAGACATTTCACAATATATAACGAGAGCTCGATGAATCTTACCTCTAAATTAAAAGATTAAAACATAAAACAAAAATGATATGAACTCCTCCAATGGAACAATAAATATGTGTCGCATGTCATCACGTACGAGTTTCTCATTTTCGATAAAAGATATATTAAAAAGTAATGAAAATTGACCAATAATAAAAGAATAGTACCTCTAACCAATTATAAGATCGTGTCAGCTCATATGTTGCAAAGCCACCATTTTCATTCTACAATGATCAGATAAAAAATGATGTTCATGCATAATATCGTTGATTCTCCAAATAAATTGAATTGATTTTATAAATGAAGTTATCAGGGATAACAGTCAAACTTATGCAATATAATAATATATATATAAACTTGACTTAGATATACTTTTGTTCCCCTATTAACCTATGTGTGATTTTTATCTTTTAATATTTATTACACGAATTTGATCCTTCAATCGTTGTATCATTCCAATAAAGTCCTTCGTCATTTTTTCTTTACATCAAATAGTTAATATCCTTATCATTTTTATTCAAATAAATCGAAACTTTAGATAAATTTTAAATAAAAAAATAAAATATTGAAAAGCAAAAATGTGGTATTTTTTTTTTTTTTGGTTGGTTGATAGTTTGATTAGTGGGTTTTTAAGCAGAATAGGGTTTAAAATATGCTAAATAGGTCCAATTAGAAATCAAATATATTGGCCCAAATGCTCCAATAATTTGTTTTGTGAGCTCCATTATAAACTAATATTATACCATTATCAATGTTGTAGTAATTTTCTTTTGAAAGCATAATATTTTTATTTAAAATTAAGCACTTCCTATCATAACTAATTTTACGAAGCACTGTAAATATAACTAGTTAACATTATCATATGAAGAATTTTCATATTTCTAATTCCATTTAAAATGAAGCTTCAACTATATTAAATTAGAAACAAAGAAATCATATCAGTGTTTCATCAAATGTGCAATGGCAGACCGATTCCATTTTTAAGATAAATAGCTCAATTTGATATAAATAGAATTTAAAAAATATTTCAATGCATTTTTAATCTTAGTATTTTTATAATTTTTTATTTTACTCTATTCAACTTTATTTTTATTTTTAGTTCTCGCATTTTCACTCGTGTGCTAATTATCAAGTTATCATGTGTCAATTTTCTATTGAGTCAATTTAATAAGAGAAAGTAAAACAAATAATAATAATAATAATTAAAAAATATAAGGACTAAAATTGAAAATAAATAAATAAATAAATAAATAATTATAAAAATACAGAGGAAAAAAATATATTTAAGTAAAAAAAATATATAAATGGTGAAAAGACTTAAAACTGGTGAATAATTTAGTCATCTTAATGAATAGGCTATAGGCATCATAATTAAGGAAGTAAGGAATCAATATTAACAAGTAATCATGATTTATTTACTTGAATTATTCTATTAACTAAGTTTGATTTATAGAGTCTATGTACCTGTAATGAGAGAATGACATTTACAGCATCGTATAATCGCTTTGCATCCAATGGTTCACCAACAATCTCGGGTGCAAATTTCGATAATAATAAAACAGCCTGAAATAGGAAGGTACAAAATCAACCGAGAATAATTGATAAGCAAGAGTCTAAATTTACTTTCTTCATCAATAATTACTTTTAGTCCTTCAGCTGTGCAATCAGAAACTTCCCACCCCTGATCTGCAGTTGAAAATGTCCAAGAACCTTTTGAAATGTGACGATACCATTTATTAAGATCACCTGGACAATCTTCTAAAACCTTTCCAGGAAAAGAAAAAGATTGTGATAAAAAAAAAAAAGAATACAAATCAATGCAAATTATAATATTAAATGCAAAAAGTCACCTGTGAATTCTTAATGAATGTATGAGCCTTTTTTAGAGTCGGACCATATTCTTCAATGAGATTTGTTGAGATAATTGCTTGGACAGCAAATGCAGTATCCCATAGTTGACTTCCATTATAGCCCTGCAACACGAAATGATTGTGTTAAATTTGCATCATTAAATTAATTTAGGACAATTCCAATAGGTGCCTTTAGATGTTGATTAAAGAATAAAAAATGAAATTTATTAAAAAATGCTATTCATGATTGTGATTTTCAATATATGCTATCATAATTTTTAATAGAAATATTTATTTATTAATTCTTTAATTAGTATCCTAAGTAAAATCTTTTGTTTTAATATACTCTACCATATCGACCACCAAAAAAGCTCAGTAGTCTTGTTAACATCAGTTCCAGATACTACAACATAGAGAAACATATATTGTGTTGACCTGCATTTTCATGCCATCTTCAGCTATCCATAGATAATCATAAATCCTTGGAAGATGGAACTTGAAAGCCTTAGAATTCGGATCTTCCACCCAACAACAAAGCATATTTAACACCTGAATAATAACCATTAATAACAAACATAGTCAGTATTTGTAAGCATTTCCTGGTTTAACTAGATAGAAAATTAAAATAATAACTAAGTGATTATTTGAAAGGTAAGGTCAGGCATCCTAAAAAAATATAATTGACATTGTAAAAATAAATTATTGAGTTACATATCGTAAATAAATGGTCAGCAAAGGAAAAACAAGCAATCATATTGAACAATTACTGTATTCTCAAACTCCTATTTGAAGGATGAAAAGTAAAAGAACAATAAGCAATTGAAGGGAAACCTTATAGATGTGCTTTGCCCCCCTCGCAATAATTACCTTATTTATTGGACCTAAGCAAATGTAACGAGTATTCTCATCTTCGTAATGTATATGCTCCATTGCAGTCTTTATAGCTTTTTCTCTCAATTTTTTTCCAGGATAATGCATCAAAATAGGTTCAATGACCTTGTGAAGAGATTCCCAGAGAATATCCTGCACGAGTGGGTGAGGATAATACAAGTCTTCCTGCACAAAAATAAAGCTATTTCCTCTTATTAAGATTTTAAAAAAAAAATTGTCTAGTCTTAGCTGTTAAAATATTTAAAAAATTAATAACATGATAGATTAATAAGCTAAAAAATTAAAGGAATCTTGGATAGAGTAAGAGAATGCTCTAGATTAGGATAAATTTTGTATTAGTTGTTTACTTAATTTTAAACTCAACTAAATTGTGACTACTAGAGATAAGGAAAAGGAGGTAATTTTCTCACTATAGCAGATTGAGCCTTCTAGTGTTAATTTCAGAACAGTTATGAGAGAGAGAGACACGGCTAATTTAAGTCTTCTTTGATAAGGAATTATGAACATCTATTACTATTTAAACTCACTCCATTAGTACTATAAAAAAAGATTAGTTGTAAATTTCACTAGTACTTAACGAACCTGTTGTTAGATTTGAAATTGTTGGCTTCAAGTATACCGGTGGCTCTCAAATGTTAGAATATCCATATTTCATAGGAGATTTTGCCAAAATTTCCTTTGAAGAGTTTAATTTATTAGGTAACACTTAGGTTATTTTGGTTGATCTATACCCAAATCACAATCTAAATTGGTTCATGACAGCACAATAATAGTACGAAATACTCATCAAGTAATTCCTAGATCAATTTAACAGGAAACATAACTTATAGTTTCATTGAAAATAAAAGCCGAAGAGAGGGATAGAGATCATATTTACCTCAACTTGTTTTGGGCTTCTCTGCTTGAAAGGAGAAGTTAAGTTGAATCACATTTTCATAAAATATAACTTTTAATTGATGACCCAAAAAAACTTAATTAAACTTAAAAAATTCAATTTATGAGATTCTTATCTCTACTTCTCCTTGTCCTTATATATTTTAATTCTTAAGATTCAAGAATATGTTGCTCAAAAAAGTTTTAAGAAATTCAAGTCAAACAGCATCAAAGTTAGAATGTTATTTTCGATTAATCATTTGTTCAAGTCCACGATTCTACCGCAGGCCTTGGGAATGATAAAATCAAGTACCAAACATTTCTCATATACATTTTCGTAGGAAAAAAACAAACATTTTCATAGAAACATTATGCCAATTTCACTAACCTTTGCACACAAATTGCGAGCATGATTCCAGTTTATTTTATGATACGGTGTAGTATAGAGCTCTGTTCTCAAAGATAATACCAATGGTGTGATTGGACCAACGAACCTCTTTCCATATAAGAAGGACATTGGCAAATAGACCATTCGACAATGACTCCACATCCTTCCTGTTAAAAAATAAAAAATATATTTTTTGTTTCTATCTTAAGCACAGGATGAATGGAACATCAAACAATGTTTAAAATGATTATAGAAAATTTAATAACGAAATGATTTTATAAATATTTTAGAATACCAAGGGGAACATCATATTAGTTTTTAAAATATTATGTCACCAATTAAGTTAAATATGATAAGTAATATATAGTAAATAATTACTATGATAGTAAAAAATATCACACAATGAAATAATATTGTCATAATTAGCAAAATAATCATTAATTTAAAAATATAAATATGATAAAAAAAACTATATTAATAATAAATATTTATAAAATTAAATAAATGTTTAATATTTTTTAATATTTTATTATTATTATATAACACAATAATATCAATCTAATTATATTAATGATAAATTCTAAATAATTAATATCATACTTTAATATATATATATATATATATATATATAACATTAGTATAAATCTAAAAAAAATTATATGTTTTTTATTTAATTTATATTTAATAAAAATATAAATTAAATAAAAAATTATGTAAATTTTTTTAAAATTATACCGGTGCGAAAAAAATTTAGAAAATGTATATGTACACACTTGAGCGTGAAATTCTTGTTCCGCCAATTAATTGTTGACACGTTTTATAAATCACAACATACATCTTGTGTATGTACCAATTGGATTCATTATAGTCCTTTGGCCATGTATGCTATGGCTTTAACCGGAGTTAATCTCAAACTCTTCCCTTTCAATCTCCACCCTCTTAGCCTCCCCATCCCCTCAATACTTCCAGCCCTCTTCCCTTACCTCCATCTCAATCTCTTCTTCCTGCTCCCCCCACTTCCACTCCCACCCTCCCCTGCCTTCACAATCTCCTCCTCTATTTTATAAGAAAGCTATAAAAGGCAATACATGTACACAACTTTTTGATATTTCTACTTGCAAGTTTCTTCAATTTCGAAAGGGTTCACCATGAGGGGGGAGGGAAGTTGAGATTTTTATGGAAAAGGGAAAGAGTAGGAGAGAAAGGTTGAGAGGAAGGTGAGAAAAGGGACTGAAAGCGAAGAGTGGGAGAGGGACTGAAAGAAGAGTGTGAGGGGAGAGGGGGAAAGAGAGAGAGAGAGAGAAAAGACTGAGAGGGAGGGAGCAGCAAAAGATTGAGAGGAAAGAGTTTGAGACAGAGTAGAAGTGGAAGAACAAGACTCGCTTAAATATGCATAAAATTGTTAAAGAATGTCCAGTTTCTATTTCAAAGGAAAACAATTGGGATACATACCAATGTTTATTAAATTTCCCAACCAGACATGTAAAAGGCTGCAGTTGATATTCAAATTGAAGTTGAATCAAATCGGTCAAACAAGTAAAAAATTTAATAATTTGAGCCAATTGATAATTAAATTTTGTTTGAACCGATGAACTTTTACTGTGGAATAATTTTATTTATTTTTCATAAATATTAGAAGCTTTTGTAAATTTTAGTAGGGACAATAATGATCCACCAAACTCACTACTTCAATCGATAATCTATTAACCGAGTCAATATCTTGTCCGAATTTTACAAGACTAACATGCACAGTTGATCCATCGGAGAGACTAACTTGAGTGGGAAAATAGTTTACGTAGAGTGTGACACGCATTCATTAATGACCCGTTGGAGTTTAACGTTTTCTCAGCTCACTCCCTTCACTATTTGTGGTATAATTAAATTCCCTACATTTTTATATCACTAAATCCACTTATCCCTTATTTTTATTTGATTTTTAGCTTATTAACAACGGTATTAACCATGATTATATAAAAAAATAAAACATAATAAAGAGCAAGAACCTGGATGAATTGGAAGCATGTATGGAAGGAGCCAAATCTCAGGGGGCAGTGGATTATTTCCACACCATTCATACACTCCAAGTACCTATCCCACAACAAAATTAGAAATAAACATACCATAATACCATTAACAATTTCATAAAAAATGGACTAAGATCTTAACTGAAAGCCACATCTTCCCCCACGATGTTATATAAGTAGCACCACCATGTCCTTGGATCCAGTCACGTGCTTTCTCCATTTCCCCTTCTCTATCATTAGGTCCCTGACCAAGCAACCTCAGAGCAACATAACACAAGACAGAGCCAAACATGGTGCTTGGACCTTCAATATGCAAACCCCACCCACCATCCTTATTCTGCAATTACATTTAACTAATTAACATAACTTGTGGCAGATACACAGATTAAGGTGAAAGGATGGTGTTAAACTCTTACTCGATGATTATAAAGGTAGCGGCACATTTCCTTTCTATGCTCTTCTGTTAATACATCATTCAGTGCCCCAGTGATATACAGAGCAATTACCTGCAAAGTTTATAACACAGATTCATATAAATCCATGGTGACAAAAGACAAATTAATGGAAACACCAAAACTTTGAAGGCGAAAAGGTTGAAGTTTTGTCAAAGAATTTCCATGTTCTGATTTTTCATGTAAAATGAACATCAAGTCTTCAAAACAAAACTTACCAAGCCAGGCATTAGAAACATGGGACCTCCATAATCTCCTGGCCAGTGTCCATCATGACTTTGGAGAGTTGAATGGAAACTCAAGGCCCTTCTTAGTGTTCTTGTCACTACCTCTTCAGTTACATCTTCAATATCTTTTACTACAATTTTGGGTAAGACTTGGTGTAATGGATTCTCTTTTGCAAACTGCAATTTTTTTTATATGAAAGATTATTGAACTTTTAAGTGGCACACTAAAACCATAGTAAAGCACTAAAGGATAAATATTATATCATATAACAATCTACACGTACCTGCATGCGCATAAGTAGATCAGAGCTGTGTTTCTTAGTAAATCTATTGTTGTAGAAATTCTGGCGAGCATTTTCAATCTCAAGGAAATCTTGAGGCGTTCCAAGCTTAGGATCAAACTCCCAAACCTGTCTTCCAAAGTGATTGTTCAAAGTCCAAAGCCATGGACTTTCTCCCTCTGCAATCTTGAGCTTCCACATTTTTCTTTTCTAAAAGATAAAGTCTCGGCTTTATTTCGTCTTGTCTTTGATTTTTATTTCTACAATCTATTTATAAAGTTTGTAAAGCATGATTGGAGTTGTTATATCTTAAACTTCGTCGGCATCTATCAATTAATATCAACGAACGTTTTCTTGCTACCTTCTTACTTTACTGCAGGACATTATACATTCGTTCTGGTTTCACCTACCAATTCTTTGATAACAATATGACGATGGACATTATAAAATGCGCTAGTCTCGATCATAATGAGCACAAGAATCAAGTACGCCAACAACCGGAAAATATTGCTTCAAATTTTATTCATCTACACAGAGAGAAAATGAATTTTATTCCAATTTATATAAAAATTCAAAATAATATTAATTATTATTTATTTATTATATCACGCTGTCCATAATATATAGAATCTTAATTACAATAAATAAAACATAAATAAAACTTAGGTGCACTATTATAAGTATTTTTTAGGTTGTTTTTCAATCAAAGTTAAAGTTTTCCATTGTTAATATGCATAATAAAAGTCTCTGTTAAGAAATAGTACACCGATACTCAAGTTCGATAAATATTATCAATGTGACACTATAGAAAACAACAATAATAGTACACATGATATTGCACTTGAGTTTTGTTCTTTTGTTAATCACAGTCTTTAGGAATAGATTTAAATATTTAAATGTAATAACATTTTATTAAAAAAACACATTTATTATATTAGTGTTTTAAATTATAATAAATATATTTTTTCAATGGTGTGTTATGTTTATTAGTTGTTTAAATTCAAGTATAAGAGTTAAAGTTGACTTTTTTTATAAAATATTTATTTTTTATGTTTTTAAAATATATTCATTTAAGGTTATGAAATAAGAATTAAAAATGCATTTAATTATCTTTTTTAAATTATAATTATTATAATTTTTTACTTTACTAATTTTAAATTTAATATAATAATTATCTTAAGAGTAAATTTAGATTAAAAAATTTTATGTTTCCTAAAATTGTAAACTGATGATTAGTTTGAGAAAAAAAATTAGCTAAAGAAACTGTCTTTTAGAGACAGATGGAGTATATATAGAGTAGCTCAAAGAACAAAGAGAGACTAATTAATAAAACATAAATTAAAAAACTTATAAAAAAATCTAATAAAATTGATTAAATTTTTTAACCTCAATAATATTTTTTCTAAGATAGGCAAGTAAGAACAAATATAAATAGTACACTCATTAATTTGTAAGAAAATGTTTTCAAACATTAAATTAAACTAACAATCAATATAATCTAGAACTCCTTCATGTAAATTAAAAACATGTTTATGAGAGGTTATAATTTTTTAAAATTTACTTTAATAAATTTTTTATAACATCATAATAAAACATTTTAAACTTATATATCTTACTAAATTTTACAATTAAATTTATTATATAAATTATTATTTAAAAAACTATTAAATAAACACCTAATTATGAAACTATGAATCACTCTTAATTCATTTTATTAAATCGAATTAGGATTAAGCCACAAAGCACATATGATAAATAATGCTGACTTGGTCGTCAGTCGGCATCATTTTGCAGTTAACACGAAAAGTCAAATTCAACAGTAGAAAATGTACTAGCTTGTGCATGCATACTTCAATGGCCGTCACTTGTCTTTTCATCGTTTACCACTTATCAGCAAGTCTTGCAAGACTTGTCATTTTGTTAACTATTTTCCAAAGCATGTTTACAACTAATTTTCTAAAAGCACATTTGACTAAAAACATTTAACTGTCACTATCATCTCTGCAATTATACGAAAATTCAAGTAAGCTGTGGAAAATGTCCTAATAGCGCTAAAATATGCAGACATGAATTCTTATCTAATGTCTCTTCATTTTGTTGACTTTGGATCTTTAAATACATTCTTATCTAACATCTCTTCATGGTCGTCACTTGATATATCGCAAGATTTTGTTCCTTTAACTTATTATTACAAGTTATTTTCAGTGGATTATTTAGAGTTCGTCAATTCTTAATACTCCTGCTTTTTTATTCTTCACTTTTTTTACCAATAATTTTAAATATCAAATATTTTAATATTTTAAAATAATAAATATACATTTTTTCATATAATATTTACTTTATAAAATAATAAAAAAAATAGCACATACTAACAGAGATATTTTTGTCATGCTGCAAGCTCTTGGTCAGGTCAATCCCCACAATCCACATATTGTATTAATAATTTCCAAAACGTGGAGTTGAATCAGGAATTCGACACTGGTGATGATGAGCTTGTAGTTACAAACACACTGTCTATTTACTTTCATTGCATCGATGTGAGTGCCATTGCTAGTCAGCAAGTCTTCTTCATAACATTATTAACAGTTTTGGAAAGTTCAAGTCAAATGTGGAAAATGTTTCTTTCCATTATTGATAAATAATTACATTGAATAAGATGATTTTGGAAGACTTTTCTTATCTTCTGTGCCTTTCAACACATCTGTACTATTTTCTAGCAGATGGATAGAATTACTACCCTACCCTTTGTTTCTATATCTATAGACTTTAGAAGTTTTTTCTTTAGCAATGTTAATAATAATTTAAAATAAAGATGAATAATACAGAAGTAGATATTATTATTTTAAGAAAAAAAATACTTCGGAAGGATTAGAAGTAGTTTCTGTTTGAAGATAGCAAAAATATTAAGAAATATAATGATAAAAAAATATAATCAGTTTATGTTAAAAATCATTTTACTTTTTTATTTGTCATAAACATATAAAATATTTAAAATTAGATAAAAATGAGGGTATCATTATTGTCAAATAATAATTAATGATATTTTTAAATTTTGAATAGATAAATATTTAAAAACAAACCTTTCTTAAAAAATGGATGAAATATAGTTATAGTCTCGATAAATATTATTTTATTTTAATCTTTATAATTTAATTTTTAAAATAATTTATGTGAACAATTAAAGATCACTTGACATATATTTAATCAATTTATATTATATATCACTTTCAATTAGCTATCGACGTGGTATAAATATATGATATACAACGTTTTTGAAATTTTTAAAATTTCAAGAGGCAGAAATGCAAAACACATAAATATTGTTTTATATGCAGCAAAGCTACTCGGTCTAGTTACAGAATTACGTGCGTTCAGTTTAGATAAATTTTCTAATAAATATTTGTAGAATTAAATAATTAAGTAATACAATGAATTAATTTTTTATGAGTTAAAATTAACTTATACTTTTTTATTTTTTTAAAAAATTATTTAAATTTTATAAATTTGAAGAAATAAACTTTTTCTAAGTTATAAGAAAATTTTTATTTATTTTTTATATTAATTTTTTTCTTTTACAAAAATTTCTTTAAAAATTTATCTTAAGAGCTTGTTTTGTTTTTTAATTTTTAAAAATTATATTTTAAAATAATTTTAAAATTTTATTTTGAAAAAGAAAATGAAATAAAAATTATATTAACAAATAATTTATTATTTTTATTTTTATAAAAATAATATTTTCAAAAATAAAAAATAAACAAGATATTAAGTACCACATATTGTTAGATCTTTTTGACAAATTAGTTGATCATATAATCACCAATGAGTGACATATCATATTTCACTGGAATTTGTAGATATTATTATAATTTTTATTATTTTAATTAAAATACCTAATAAGAATTAATGACATTTATATATGTATTCAAGAGTTGAAGTTTTATCAAATTAATAATAAATACGAATAAGATGCAACGATAGAAACATTAAAATGCAAAGATTAAAAATTGAGATTGAACTTTATCATTCATTCTTTTTTTTATTTTAATGATTTAATATAAAAAAAAACTCTGTTATAAAAGCAAATGCATATATATATTTTTTTCGTTATACAGATTCCTCATACACAAGTTTCTAATAGTATTCTTTAAATAACAATTCCACAATTATTTAATGAATCTTTTATCATTAAAATCAAACATCAAAGAACAATCAATATATTGAGATTTGTTCTTAGTATCACAATACACTGATTGAACTAAAGATTGATTTCTAACTAATTTGTGGATTTTAAATCAATATACTATCAATTAAAATAGAATCAAGCATTAAAAATAGAATGAAAACTAACAACATCTAGAGAAATGAAAAACTATATATAAATCACTAAAATATATCTGAGTTGAAGATTACATTTAATTTCAAAAGAAGTTTAGTTACTCATGATAATCATTACAACAAAAGAAAGAGATAAAAGAGATGAAGATTAATTCTCCAATACTTTTCCATAAAATGTCCTAACTTTCTCGTCTAGGTTCTCTTTTTCTCCTCTTGTTCTTCTTTGATTCTTCATTCTTAAAAAGTGATTTAATGAATTCTCACTCAAGTGAGAAATTCTTACTTGAGCTAAAATAGGATTTTCGCTCAAGTTAAAAATTTTGCTTAAGTTAAAATCAAATAGATTCTAATTTTTGTTTCTTGCATTTTTGCTTAAGTAAGAAACCTTTCGCTTGAGTGAAAATTTGGCAAATTCACTTCCTTTCTTTCTTTTTTTTTTTTTTTTTTGCCTTCCTTCCACCCTAAGTTCTTGTAAAATAAAGAATTCAGCAAAAATGAGACTAAGAAAAATTTTCATCTAAATCTCTAAATTGAAATAATAAGTTAATTCAAATTTTTCTAAATTGAAAAGAGAATTAAAACAAAAATTAATTCATTAAAGAAAATAAGTGCCTTAAATCATGTTACAAATTACTAAGACTTTACACTTATCAACACTCTTAAACCTAGAATATTGTTTATCCTTGAGCAAAGTATCTAAATCTTTATAGTTCAAACTTACTGAAACCGAGTCACTAGAAACGGTTTCATAGAAATCAACCTTGCTTTATCCAATCACCCTCGAACAATACATGCTATTTAAAAAGTCATTCACAAGTGAAAGAGGGTGTCTACAAATTTAAGTATAAATGAGATGTAAATGCACT